AAAATCGTTTAGGAAAAATAGAATCTTATCAAAATATATTGATAATGGGTATGTTATTGACAATTAAAGTACAAAAAATCATTGAATTTTCTAATTATTTTATTTATATATTTTTTTATAGGAAAAGAATTACCTAAAGGGTTAATAATTTTAATCGTTGTATTGATAATCTTACTGATCGGCTTGATACTGTACTTTACAATTAAAGTTCGTCGTGAAAAGGTAAGAAAATTTAAAAAAAAAAAAAAGAAATAAAAAGTAGCACAATGAATAATGGAAAAAACCAAATAACACGTTTATTCCGATTTTGATAATTGTATAGAAAATGAGGAAGGAATTATTAGAAACTGGTCTAATGCATTTCGAGGAAGGTGCTTTGGAATGTTTAAATCCGGAATTGACAGTAGATGACCAAGCAGAACTACTTCCTTACGATAAGAAATGGGAATTTCCAAGAGAAAGGTTGAAACTTGGTAATACTCGAAGGGTGTATATCTGTAAACTTATTTGATAACCCATATTTACGTCACGTATGAGTATGACGCATTATTGATTGATTGATTTAATTTGATCAATTCTCATTTAACACGTAGTATATAGAATTAATAAATACAATCAAGTGATATATATATATATATAGAATACATTTTTTATTTTATTTTTTTTTAGTATACTTTAAATTAATTTTTATGAGATACCATGTAAAACAATTGTAACAAAAAATTATGATACATTGTTTTTGCAAAATTTTTCCAAATATATTTATTGATAGATTGTAACGAATATATTTTAATGATAATTTAAATTAATACGTTTATTAATAATAATTTAGGAAAACAATTGGGTAGTGGAGCATTCGGGGTTGTTATGAAAGCAGAAGCTCAAGGAATTAATGATGGTGAAACTGTAACAACGGTTGCAGTTAAAATGGTACGACGTACGACAGATCCAACTTATGTTCGTGCACTAGCAAGTGAATTAAAAATTATGGTACATCTTGGTAAACATTTGAACGTCGTCAATCTTTTGGGTGCTTGTACGAAAAATATTTCAAAACGTATGTTTTATGTCATATACTTCTCATTTCTATCATCATAAAATGAATTTTAATATATTCAATTTATTTTGTTTGGTTTTATTTGCTTTAGGTGAATTATTGGTCATCGTTGAGTACTGTCGATTTGGTAATTTACATAATTTCTTATTGAGACACAGAATAGATTTTATCAATCAAATTGATCCTTCCACTGGTAAATTTGATCCTACAATTGGTATTGATCTTCTCACGAGAACTGCCAGTATAAGCAGTAATAATAGGTTTGTTTGTATTTTCTATTTTATTTTCTTTCCTACTTTTTATAACACATATGTTTCATGTCTTGCTATATATTATATATTAATCACATCTATTCATCCTATCATATATAATATATATTATGTTATGATTATTCATTTAATGTCAAATGTGTTCGAAATGCTAGCAAGAGTATCACTTAATGCTCTAATCAAAATCACTGTAATAGTAGTTAATTTTCTAATGGATATATTAATTGTAATGTTTATTACTAAAATTTAGTAAATAATAATAATCTTTCGCTTTTTGGTTATTAATATCAACGGATAACACAATAATGTGGTGAAGAAATGTGTATGCATGCAATGGGCTGCGGTTTAACGATCCTTCCTTTATTTTCTTCTGTCCATACGATAGGATAAAATATGCGGCATTGTCTTTTACTCGCAGTACTAGTGTAAATTCCGGCACCGAGATGATTCACTATTATGTTCCTAATACAACGGACTCTCAAGGTACATGTATGTCACCTGATGGAGGTTGTACACTAAGCAATAATTCAACACAACCTGGTTGGAGATCCAATTATCATGGTGATTATAAGGATCATAATTTGAAACCAATTTGTACTCAAGATCTTTTGTCTTGGGCATTTCAAGTGGCTCGTGGTATGGAATATCTTAGTCAGAGAAACGTAAGTATAATTAGAATTTGAAGAGAAACATTTATATTTAAAAATAAAAATAAAATGTTGTCGTAAGAATGTTAATCGTTTTCCAAAATTTATATTTAATACATATTGATCTAATTAATTATATACAATTAGGTATTGCACGGTGACTTAGCTGCGAGAAACATATTACTCGCTGAAAATAACATAGTTAAAATTTGTGACTTTGGTTTGGCTAAAACAATGTACAAAGATGGTAATTACCAGAAGAAAGGNTGAACAATTCTTTTCTATTTAAAAACTTCGAATCCATAAATAATCTAACTCTGTGCCAAATATTAGCTTGATTACGTTCCATTAACCAATAACGTGGAATAAGGAAACATCGTACAGGTGTTACTGATACGATTCTTCGATTAAGCATTTTTTCACCTAATAAAATGAACGTTATATTATTTTATAATTATGAAAGATCGATGATATTAGTAATATAAATAAAATTAATTTGTCCTACCTATTCCAAAACAAGCACCCCTATAAAACATACAAACTTGCATGAATATTGTATGAACGTCTTTTGGATAACGTTGCGATGTAACTGATGGGTCTCTCATCAACATTTCTGTAACTTCCGTTATCTCGTGCCATTCATTCACCTTTGATTATTAATATTAATAATATCATTCGTATACTATTTCAATTACATTTCATTCACTTACAACATTTGCAAGTGTAGCTGTCACAATACTCGTACGTTCCAAATCAGCTTGTTTATTTGCTAATTTTTTGGATAACATAATCTGAGTATAGTCCATCGTCGTATCATTTATATTTGTCTCTAGTTTAGTCCATTTGTCGTTCTATGTAATTAATTTAAAAAGAAATTTATAAAACAGATGAATATTTTGAGATAATTCATTTTCTTTATAAAAACAAAARGAAAAAATGAACTTTTGGATTTTTTAAATGTTTACCATTTTATCATAAATCATTGATCCTTCTTGTTTAATAATGTTATCAGTATCAATATTTTTATCATTTGATTCAAATTCCGATAAAGAACTCATGACGTCTGGATCGAACAATTCGTATCTCATTTCATGTGCAGTTGGTTTCTCTTTAACGAGTATATGTTCTATCAAACGACATTCACCTTCCAATAAAAAATGTACATAATTGACCATGCCCTTTCCGTCGCCTAACAATACCTCGTTTGCTTGAAAATCTTTTAACTTGCTCAAAATGCAACATTCTCTTATAGTTTCTTCGTCCCATCTTTCAAAATAATTAAAGTGTACCAAAGCATCTTGCAAAATGTTCCATTGATCCATCAAATAATCTCTTAATATTTCATTAAAATCATCAAGATTGATGAGTAGCAAATCTACTGAGGCTAAAGAAAAATAATGTAATTAATTACAGATAACAAAATTATTATAATTTGTTTGGTCATATTATTTGTTTACTTTTAGTGACTATGGTAGCTGTTCTTGGTATCATGTGTAATAATGCAATCTCTCCAAACATATCTCCCGGATGCATGGAACCCATATCAATCTCTTTGGTATCGCCTGTTGATTAAACAATGATAACAATTTTTATTAAATTTAATAATTATAGTAGTTTGTAAAAAACAAAATTAAATGAAAGAAAAAAAGTACCAGTAAGATCATCGGTAACGACCCTCGTCAGGTTGACTTCCCCGTTTATGATAAAATAAAGATTTTCAGCTTTGTTGCCTTGACGTACTATTACACGATCTCGTGGTAAATATTGATAAACACATACATCCGCTAATGATTCTCTTTGTTCTTCTGGATATTTTTTAAATGCTCGTAATTTTTTGAATAATTCGCAAATATAAGTTTTATCTGACGATGATCTCTCAATTGGATTTATCAATAGAATAGAACGATCCTTCAATTGACGTTAATAAAAATATTGTGCATTATTAAATATACTTATATTAGTGTATCGTTTTAATAATAATTTGTGTTATTTCTTTTTACAAACCTCCAAGGTCAATGGCTTTTTCTCGACTTTTTTCTCTTGAGTTAATTTGAGAATAGCTGCAACGTCGTCGCTAACATCTTCGATTACAGGTTCCTGAGTTAACCATTCTAAAAATTCTAAAACTAATCTTGCAGCAGCACGGAATAAATAACGTCCCTTTAATTTGTTGGTCTATAAGTTTAAATGAAAATTTTAGAAGAAAATTTGAAATGGATTTTTCATTTATAAACTTACCCTTAGACGAAATAATGATCTTCTTGTTAGAATTTCGCTGAATGATTTTCTTAAAGACATTCTTCCAATATTCATAGACATACTTTCAAGAAAATGTTTTTTAAAATTCTATTTTGAATATAATTGTAATATTAAAAATATTAATATAAACAGGAATATGTGAATTTACGTATATCATTCTACACGAAAGTTTATTTTGTTATATCAATAAATCGATTTAATTCTACGTTCTTCAGCGCCATTTAATGTAACAGCGTCAATTGCAGACATTAAATATGTTTTTAAAAGACAATTTAAAATGACAAACAAATATTTTATTGCATAAATTTAGAATTATTTATTTAGAAAATAATCAAATATGTTCAATAAGAAATTTGAATATTCCGCTAAATGTGCAAATATGTTTTGACCAATAGGCGTTATAGTTGAGTATATCTTTACTATGATTGGTCGAAGTGTTCGAGAAAGATTGGTCACGAGAAAGGTTATGAATTTGTGTGAAAGAGTTACTTTGTAAAGTGACTTTCAGTTTTTAAATAAAAAGTGTTCATTTGTGAATTAAAAAATGGTAAGAAAATAATATTAAAAGTACTATATATAAAGCATAAATTTATTTAATCGTTAAAAATAATTATTAATATTATTAATCTTTTTAAATCCGTTAAATATTGATTAATTGTTGTTAGGTTATGATAGATAATTATGACAGTCATCCTTTTACTTTGATCTTATTCATTGTTAATAATAATTATTAATATTGTAAATGCTTATAAATTTATAAATTTATTAAATTATTCAAATTCATTTTTAATATTACAAATTCTCATAAATTTATTGAATACAGATACATTGTGTTTAGGTTGTGTCAATCAGTGTCACACACTTTTGATTTTGCCTTATTTATTATTAATAAATATTTTTTACAAATAACACATGAATAATTTTTTAATTTTACAGAGTTTTGGATTACCACCATTAAAAGCTAAGCCTGAAGTGGCTGAACAATTTAATATTAAAGAAGATATATATGGCATTCCAAATCCTATGATTTCTGGGTAATTATTAGTTCAATAAAATTCTTAAAAATTTAATTATTACAATTCATTGATGAAGAAATTATTATATTGTTAATTTTGATTATACAGATTGTCAGGAACTAGACAAAAAATTGGTTATTCGCATCCTTTAGAAGCTTCAGTATTAAATGTAAATATAAATGTTTTATTACTGCATATAATTCATTTCATATATATATATATATGGAGTGTCTTTTTGTAATATATGGAGTTCCCTTCAAGAGTGCATATGAGACACAAAAATAATGAAAAAGTTTAACAAGATTTATCTTCGTAGAAAGTGCTTGAAATGATCATTCTCGGTTAATTGATTAAACTAAAATAATTAAACGATCACTCCTGAAGTGGATTGAACATATTGCAAAATATTTTATATATAATAATATGTAAAATAGTAAAATATAACAAATATGCAGATTATAGAACTTGATTGATTTTAGCATAAGAAAAACGAAGAACGTATGAACATGGTCTTATTACGTAATTCTCAAGGATTACATGCACCATTGCGTCTTGCAATGGAATTAAAAGCGGCTGGAAAAATTGGAAGACTTCCCTTTTTACCATCGTCAAATATCATGAGGGATGTTATTCTTGGTAGAGACGAAGAAATTGGGTAATTTATTGAATATGTCTCAATTTAATAAGCAATAATTACAACAATTGAAAATTAATAATGTTTTTAATTAGTTTTGAGGATATATTGAATACACCTGAGTTCAGAGAACAAATGGGACAACCTCATGCTGTAATAGAAAAAAGTCTTGGAATTCTTTAAGAGGGAGGTACGATTATCACTAATAGAATGTATTATTTTTTTTTTTGTATACAAAGAATACTTGTGATGCGCAATTTAAATTTGAAAACTAAATATTGTGACCTGTATCATTAATTAAATTAACTGTTAACTTAAATAACAGTTAACTTAAATGAATTAATCAAGATGTTTGGAAACAAGTGTATTTCTCTTTTATTTATTGTTATTACTCACTATCTCTCTTTTATGGGTTTGATGAACATTTTTACGACACCTATATATTTTTCTTTTATTTTTATTCAATAAAAGTTAATTTAATAAATGTAAATAATATATTTCAGATCTTCCTTACATCTCTACTTTTCTTATTACAGAATTACATCATTCATAACAGTCTACATTAACTTACTAATGATGCAAATAATATGAACATTACATTTCCTTGATATTTGAAAATCTTTCAGTCATTAAATTTCTATTAGATTAATTATACAGAATGTATAAAAAGAAAGTTCAAAATGTTATCAAAGGAGTTAAGATAAATTTATCAATGAGATAGAATGCATTTAAGACTTATATTGACAAACTTGTTTAGATTAGTTGACTCATTAAATATCAATTTATATAGATCAACAAGTCATATTAATTACATTTGATACAGTCTAACCAATGTCATAAATTTCTACGTAAAAACCAATACAACTCCTGGTTGTATAATTCTTATTTTAAAATACAAAAAGAAAAAAATAAATAAAAAAAAAAAAGTCTTTGTTTCGCGATTGTATTATGTTAATTTCGTATACTAATAAATTATTTTAGCCCGATATTATTCATTGCTTATTCTATTTTTATATTTCGCATTTTTAGTTAAGTATATTTTAATTCTTAGATACGATTATCATTTAAATTTATACTTTATCAAATAAAATGAAAAAGATAAACAATTCAATTTAAATTCCATTATCTTAAAGGGCTATTTACAATGGAATTTAAAAATGCATTAATTTTGAAAAGTAAACATATGAAAGTTTTGACAATCGAAATGCGACGTAATAAAATTTAAAGTGAATTTAATTCTTACGCCTGTAAAATCGTTAGATTGCTTCATTTGGCAACACTGATTCGTCAATATAAAAGTACAAAATTATCTTGCCCGGTATTCACGAGTGCATTACTGTTTGGAACTGCGTGCGTGTAGGATCGTTGTTCATAATAGAAGAAGGTGCTTTAAACCGGTACGATGTGTGAAATAAAAGTATTGGATGGTGGTTTTTCAACGCAATTAGCGTTACACGTGGGTGATAAAATTGACGGTGATCCATTATGGACAGCACGTTTTTTAGCAACAAAACCAGAAGCTGTATATAAAACGCATTTGGATTTTTTAAGAGTTGGCTCTGATATAATAGAAACTAATACTTATCAAGCATCAATAGATGGATTTATGAAATATTTGGGACTCACTAAAGATGACAGTAATAAATTAATTTACAAAGCTGTCGAGTGTGCTAAAAGAGCTGTGAAAACTTACCTTGAAGAAGTGAAAGATAATCCAAATGTTCCTAATCCTAAACCATTAATTGCTGGATCCTGTGGTCCATATGGTGCTGCATTACATGATGGTTCGGAATACAGCGGTCATTATTGTTCAGATATATCTTTAAAAGTTTTAAAAGATTGGCACAGGCCACGTATCTCAAGTTTGTTAGACGCTGGCGTTGATTTATTGGCATTTGAAACTCTACCATGTAAAGAAGAAGCTGAAGTATTAATTGAATTATTGAAAGAATTTCCTAATGCTAAAGCATGGATGTGCTTTTCTTGTAAAGATGGAAAAAGTTTAGTGGATGGTACGGATTTTCAAGAATTAGTTATGCAATGTTATAAAAATGCTCTGCCTGGTCAAATAATTGGTTTCGGCGTTAATTGTATTGCACCGCAGTATGTCACTTCTTTATTGAAAGGTATCAATAAAGAAAATTCAACCGATTTTATACCATTGGTAGTATATCCTAATAGTGGAGAAAAATATACAGTAACAGAAGGATGGAAGGAAGATAAGGAGTGTTATCCTTCGCATGAATTTATTTATGAATGGTTGAATTATGGAGTAAAATACATCGGCGGCTGTTGTAGGACGCAAGCAACAGATATCAAAATAATACGCTTTGAAGTTGACACATGGATAAAAACACAAAATTCTACTACTTCGTCTTCATGAACTTCTCTTAGGATTAGATTTCTTTTATTTTATTCCTGCATTTTTGTTTTTTAATTAGTTGGCAATAATAAGAGAATATATATTTACAAGCAGGAAATATAAAAGAGATTAATTTTATAAATATTTATATAAATAATTAAATGAATAGAATTTGGTTACTACTATGTGCCTTTAAGATTACGATTTAACATTAACATCTGATAATTATTATAAATGCATATTTTTGTTAATTTTTTAATATATACATTATAAAATGTTTAATATGATATATATATAAATTTTTTTATGAATATACAAAAAAAAACATTTATATATTATTATATACCAAAGAATATATTTAAACAATATATTATTATACAGATACATAAATATTTGTTATCAATTTAGAATGTGTGAAAGAAGAATTGAAAAAAGAAAAAGAAATGATATAATTATTCAAAACATTTTTATTCAATACTGTTATTCTTCCGTAGTTATGTTAATACAACTTTGTTTCTTTATTTAATGATCGGTTCATTCAATTATCATTCGCACTTTTGTCAATATATACTAATTGATTTCCAAGAGGGTATGTTTTATCTTCAATTTGAATTTCTGCAGATTCATGTTCTGCATTAATTATAAATAAAGCGTCATTTGGAAGCAATGTTTTTTCTCCTAAAATATTGTCAAGATTTGGTTTCACACGTGGGCCCATCATTGGATCATTATAACGATATAATTGAACTGAAAACAAAAATTTATTAACAAAATATCTATATATATAAATATCTATTGTTTCTATTTACAATTTTGATTAATATTACATACCTTCGATCAATTTTACAGATCTTAATTTATTCTCATGTACAATACGTTCTATTAAATTAGAAACTGTATCATTTTCATAAATTTTTAAATGCATACTAAATGCACTAATGTATTTCTGTGGATTTATAAGACACATTTGAACAGAAGGTTTTAATGAAAAATTTATATATGGAGAACCAGGACAACATTCTTCTTTTGTTTTTTCTGGAGCTTCGTCGGTATATTTTATAATAATTTCATGTAACTGATGAAAGAAATAAAAATGAACCACATAAATACAATGGATACAAAATAATATATAAAAATTATAAAATTATTAATATATATTATTATATGTCAACGTTAAATTGTATAATTCAATGAAATCGTGAAAATTCTAATTTTTACTGGAAATAATTAGGCGTTTTTGTGAAAACATATAAAAAGAATTTTACTAAACTCAGTTAAAGTACTTGATTGAAATTTAATCTATCTTTAATGTTTGCTTTTCTTTCCACAACAATGCTCGTAATTATCTGTTGTTATTCTATTTTTAATTATCTTATCCTGTACTCTTTTTTTCTTTTAATCGCAGTGCTATATCGTATTTAATCTATGGATCAAATTTCAATTTCGTTCGTTAAGTATTTATAAATTCAAATATTCCTTATGTTAGTTGACGTTTGTATTTGTGTATGTTTTCTTTTTTTTATATTTAAACAGTTATTTCAAAGTTTAGATAATCATTTCAGTAATTAAAGAATTTCACAAAGTAACGTTAACGAATATGTAATTAAAAAACAATTACCTCTAGAGTATTTTGAAGATATTTTTTATTTTGTTCAAGAATATCATACTCATTGAAATCAGACGTTAAATTAAAAGCACTTATACCAATAGAATCTAATTTTTCTCTCGAAGCTTGCACAAATGGCATTACTCTTTTCATATATTTTTTTAATTCAGCTATGCTTCCTAATTCTGTAGCAATTGCTTTATTTTCTGGTAGTTTATTTCCATTTTTCTATAAAAATATTAAATAAATTAATGAAATTTTTAAATAAATAATTAAATATATCAATTATACTTACAATATACATTTCCTTCATAGTTTTGAGTACAATACTTTGCCATGGAGGATAAGATTTGGCAACCCAAATAATTGCTTTATTAGGTTTTTCTTGAGGTGAAGCATTTGCATTTTTTGAAACTTTCTTTGGCGTTAGATAATTCTTTAAAAGAATTCTAAATGAATGAGCAGCATCCATTAAATACTGTGAAGATTTTATGAGTACTAAATCAACAGTACCAGCTATTGGCCATCGACTGTCTAGTATGCTATCTTTCTAATAAAGAACAGAATATTTTTGTGATTAATATTTAAATAAAATAAAAATATAAAGAGATATATATGATCTATATTTATATATATATATATACGTATAATTTGAATAATACTTACTTTACCAATAATATTCCATACATATTCTGACACATGAGGACATATTGGTGATAACATAATAAGTTGCAATTCTATGTACTTAATAATAAGATTCCAGTTAATACCATCTAATATACTTAATTGTATGTATTTATCTCTAGCAGCTTGTAATTCAAAAAATCCAGTTCTCAATGCGTCTTTATAAAGCATTTTTGAATAATTCTCATTAGTTTCTTGTATCTTTAGATTCATTTCACTATTAAAAAAGAGCTATGTTATATTATATATTCATAAGAATATATATTAATAATTAAGATCAATACCTTTCAAAGACTCTATCATTGAATGTATTTGGTTGATCATGTCTGTATTGATTTTTTGGCGTGTTCATTACTTCTTTGACCCATTCAATAAATGTATATAATCTTAGAATTCCTGCATCAGCTGTACTCTCTACAAAATTAGCATCTTCAACTGAATCTCCAGAATCAGCCAAACATAATCTCATCCCATCTGCTGAATATTTTTCAACAGCTTCTGCGAGTGTTAAGAAATTTCCTTCGGATTTTGACATCTAAAAAATATAATTATTTAATTCACTGTGTTGATTTTTATATTTGAGAAATATAATAATTAAGTTTTATTAAAAGATTATGTATATATACCTTAGATGAATTTAATAGTAAATGACCATTTGCTCGTATTCCTTGAGGCCATAATTCTGGTTGCTTAGGCCATATGGCAGTATGATTATAAAGAAAGAAAGTAAGATGATTTTGTATTAAATCTTTTCCTGAAACTCTTAAATCAACTGGATACCAATATTGAAATTCTCTTCGCATTCGATCCAATGCTTCTTTTTTAATACTCGTTTTAGGTAATTTTGCATCATTAAAAAAGATATAATCCCATACTTCTGATGTCATTTCATTAGCCCTGAATATAATTATTCATGTAAAATAAAGTATATAATTTAATGTCAATATAAATCAATATAAATTAAAATATATACTTTATTCCTAGAACATTTGGTTTGTCTCCCTTGAATGTTTCTCCTTGTATTAAATGAGCTATTGTATAATACGCCATATAAATAGTTGAATCGGAAAGAGATTCGATTAACCAATTTTCGTCCCATGGTAATTTTGTTCCTAAAATTTTAAATATAAAATTAAGATTTATCTTAAGTAATGATATACAATTACGAATTTCAATTTTATTTACCAAGACCATAAGTCCTAGAACATGCGTACTCATGAAGCCAATCAAGACAAGCTATAAAATTTTTTCTAACTTCGTCATGAAAAGCATTTAGATTGTTCAAGGCTTTCATTGTTTCCTTTTTCCAATTTTCTTCACCATAATCTAAATACCATTGATCGCACAAAGCGACTACGCAATCGTCATTTGATCTTGAAATAATTGTTTTTTCAGGTTCATAATAAATAACAGCACTACCATCGCGGACTAATGCTTGTTGAATCTGTTTTTTAATATCTTGGACTTTTTTCCCCTTATGTTCACCAACTAACAAGATACCGTCATAAAATCCTTTTAGATATACCATTTCCTTGGCTTCCATCAATTTAACTTTATCATTTTGAGATTGTATTTTTAATTTATCATACAGTGTCACCGCAGCTAAGTTTCCAAATTCTGGAATTTCGAGGATAGGTATCTAGTGGAATTAAAAATGTAAATATATATTTTTGAAATGAAAACTTCTTTAGAATGGGGGCATAATTATTTAAATTAACCATAAATGTTTAACTTACAGGTTCATATGGCAGAACCATTTCATCCTTGATTCCATATTTTTCTCTGAATGGTTGTTTCTTCTTTAAATCTACCAAAGCAGCATAATCATCCGGAGAATCACTAGGCACCGAAGTTACTATACCTGTTCCTTTATCTTCTTTAATTGTTAACATAGGTAATGTATAAATTGTTTTATGAGATGTAAGAGGTGCTTCTACTCCTACTCCTAAGATGTCCTATTAATATTAATAATATTAATATAAATAACAATATTATAATACATTTTTAAAGTAATATTTATAAAACTTACTTCTCCAGTTAGTTTTAAAAGAATTTCTATTTTTCCTTCTACCTCGAAAAAGCCTTGATAAGCCATATTTCGAGCTGCTCTTTCAGTCGATATGAATACTTCACCATTTTTTAAACTATACGCAATATAATTTATATCTGGATGTGCCCAGCAATTAGTTTGACCATACATAGTTTCAGGTCTCAAAGTGGCTGCGACGAGGAAAACTGGTTTTCCAGAAAGTGATCTGTAATGTAAAATATTAACAATAAGTTTTGATTTATTATTAAATATTAATAAATTATAATACAAAATTTATTTACTCAAGAGATTTAGGATAAGGCTCTTGTATTTTTAATTTGATTAATGTATATTCTTGTGGTCCAACACCTTCACCAGAAGATCTATCGTGATCCATACACGGTTGGCCATCTTTTGGAGAATAAATCGTATATCTTTTTCCATATTTAACTTTATTTCGACGTTTCAGATGTTCAAATTGCCATTTAACAAATGAATCAAAAAATGGATTAGCATCAGTTGTAATAAACATTCGACGCCAATCAACCTACAAATTGAATAATGGTTATTATAGTTAAAACATATCTTTTATATTAGGAATATTGTTTTCCTAACATACATGTAATCCAATTGATTTTAAATCTTCTACAGCACGAGGTGGGAAATAATCAAGCCAATATGCAGCATCTGCAAATTTTTTAATTTCTTCGTCATCTATTCCAAGAGTTTGCATAATTTGCCATTGATATTTAGCAGTTCCAGCCTTGGCAACTGCTTTACTCTAAAAACATTATCAAGTTTTATTATTATTCTTAATCTATATGATATGTTGCATCATTGATAGAAATTGCTTACTTTTTTTCCTTTACTTTTATCTTTGATTATTATGTCATCTACTTTTTCTTCGATTACAATATTTTCTTCAGGAAATTGTGGTGGACAGCCGTATAGTTCTATTTCTCTTTTTAATTTATCAGCACAAGCTTTAATTGGCATACCAGTGCAATGAAAACCAAATGGAAATAGAACTTTTTTTCCTAACAAACGATTATAACGTACTGCGAACTAAAAGATCAAAAAAAAAAAATATATTGTAGTATAAAGACATTTTTTAAATTATACAATTATTAATAACGAGAATTCTTACTTCACATTTTGACAAAGAAAATACATGTCCTAAATGAAGTCGTCCATTCATATAAGGAAATGGAAAGGTTGCCAAAAATTTATCATTTGGTGTATTTTTACGTTCCAATGGTGCATCTTCTTCATAAACTTTTTCATTATACCATTTTTCTTGTACTTCTCTTTCAATTTTTTGAAGATATTCAACTTTAAAGGTACCCTTCCTTTCTGTCATTGGCTATATAACAAAATTATAAATTTTATAAAATTTTAAAAGTTGTATATTAATTATCGATTTTTTTTTTTTAGATATATATAATAATATAGATTAAAGATAATTTAAAAGTAAAAAATACCAATTGACAATTACTTTTAACAATAAACTTTGTTGTTAATAATATTTTTTTTTTATTTCATTGTACTTGGTAATTTTTATTTTGAATATATATATATAATTCAATTTAACAATTTAAAAAGATTATATAATAAAAATATATAAATTATAATTTAATTATATGTGTATAAATGTGTTACATCTGTTAGCTTTGCCGGCATTGAGGTTAATTCGTATTCTTATTTATATATTATAAACGTATATGCAAAAAATTAAAAATTAATATAATACCTTAACATTAGACGTGACTACCATTTTGATAGTATATCTTTAAATAATATTTATATTGTTAAATAAATATTCGATTACTCAGCTAACTTGCATCTGGCACGTGTATGCAAGTGTTCTAATCTGCAACAACCAATCACTTTCGTCCTATAATAATTTGCATTAATGTCATGTTATATTTCATCATGTAATTTCAAAATCACATTAAAAAATTTCATTTAACATGCGTATTACGTTTAACAATGAAATTAATTCATATAATGTAACATTTGAAATCTCAATTAATTATTTGAATCTATTTTTTTTTTTTTTTTACTAAAATAGTGATAGGTAAAAAAAAATGTAGATAAAATAAAGCAATACTCTTATTATTTTATTATCATAAATTAGCATAAAAAAAATGATCTTTTTATGCATTTTACAAAAAATACAAATACGTTTTTATTTATATTTTAATATTTTTAAATATTATTATATTTATTACATACGTTCAAGCGGTTTAATACCAAGTATAGAAAAGCATTGTTCCATTATAAGAGCGGTAACTTCTGCTAATAATAAACGTCCCATATTAACTTTAATTATTTCACCAGCTTGATTCTTTTCAAGACAGTAACAATTATCATAAAATTCGCTGAAAGCGCATGAAATTTCATAGCAATATTCGCAAAGTTGATGCAAATGTAAGTCTTTAGTTATTTTAATTAATACATCGGGAAACTTTAACAAAACTTTAGCTAGTTTCCATTCCTTTTCATGTTCTAAGGATATCGGAACCTCTTCCGCAGCTTTCTTTAACTGTTCTCGAGTAATATTAGCATTTCTAGCAATTGAACGAATTCTAGTTAACGCATAAAGTAAATATACTGCAGTATTTCCCTTATCGTCTAACATTTTGTCAAATGAAAATACATATTCGTGATTTCTATTATGAGATAAGTCAGCATATTTAATACAACTATAAGCAATTGATTCTTGAGCTGCTTTAAGTTCATCTTCTGTAAGTTCCTTGTCACGTCCCTTTTCTTTAAGTTTTTGTAACGATCTGGTTACACCTTTTAAGAAAAAATAAATGTAAATTACATTTGAACATATTTATATAAGAAATCATTGAAAGCAGATATTATTAAGTTCATATAATAGTACATCATTATAAATTTACCTTCATCTAATAATTCTGATAATTTAATGGTATCTCCGGATCGTGTTTTAAATTTCTTTTTGTCCTCTCCAAGAACTACACCAAATCCAACATGATCCACTCTAACATTTGATGGAAGGATACCTACTCTTTTCGCACATTTAAATAATGTTTGAAAATGTACAGATTGGCCTGCATCTGTTACGTATATTATCTGAAAAAATAATATTGCAAAAAGTATATTTTAGTTATAATTCAATTGAAATTAAAGTTGATTATATTGTGATATTGATTATATAATCTGAAATATACCCAATCAACTTTTTCCTCGTGAATGCGTTGTTTGATACAAGCCATGTCTGACGTATCATAAGTGAAACCACCATCTGATTTTATAATTGTAAAAGGTATACCGGTACGATCTTCTCCCCATAATATTTTACGACCCTCGTCTTCCTCTAAGAAATTTTCTGCTTCCAATTCTTTAACTAATTCTTCCATTATCTTTTGATAAAATGATTCTCCTCTTTCTACGATCTTAATATCAAGTCGTTCATACAAATTTGCAAATTCTACGATAAATACAATTACGTGTAATAATCATTGTTAAATTTATATACTTTATTATATAATTTAATTGTTTTACCTTTTCTAGATACATCACAAATTAATTGCCAAGCTTTAATTATTGCCGGATCATAGGACTGCAGTTTAACAACACAATTGTACGCACGTTTTTTAAATTCTTCATCCGAATCAAATCTTGCTTTTGATTCTTTGTAAAAATTCTACAATAATACACAAATAGGAATAATAAATATTATTTTATAAAGAAAGTATATAATATAAATTAATTATACAAATGTGAAATACCTGAAGGTCCGCAATTGGTGGAGATACAGTTAAATAATTCGGAAATGTGTCCTGTAAATGAGCTATCAACATACCAAACTGTGTTCCCCAATCACCAACGTGATTTATTCTTAGAACATCATGACCAAGATATTCTAATAATCTAGAAATACTGTCACCGATAATTGTAGATCTCAAATGACCAACGTGCATTTCTTTAGCAATATTAGGACTTGAAAAATCTACTAGTATTCTTTTCTTATCCACATAAGGAGGAAATACTGTTCCTGCTTTTAGAAATGCCTTTAATACTTGTTGTCCAAATTCACGTTTTAAAAATACATTTATATAACCTGGACCAGCAATTTCTAATTTTTCAATAAGCGGAGATGTTTCTACTTTAGCTAAAATATTACTAGCAACGGCTCTTGGATTTGTTTTAATATCTGAAATGTTTAAACATTTAATGATATAATAATATTGAAAAATATTATTATTGATTTCAAATACGTACCACCAAAATTATTTAATAATTTAAAAATCTGCATAGAACTACTAAATTCATAGTCACCAAATTTAGCATTGTTCACTACACCAACATTTATTGGTGGATCTACTAAATTAGGATAAGCGGCAGCAATAGCATCTTGAAATAAATTAAATAATGTTTCAGATATACTGATAACTTTATTAACAGATGTGTCAGTTGTACCAGACATTACTTCAGTTTCTGATTTAGATTTTCTTGATTCAACAGCCTACAAATGTATACAGAAAAATTTATTAAATAATTATGACATGACAAGAGAATAAAAAAAAAAAAACAAACAAAAAGTATTTATAAAATATAATAAAATATAAATATACCCTTTTAAGTATGTTAATTCTATATTTTAATTTAAGATTTTCTTGTTGCAAATTCGCGTAATCTTCTTTCGAGATATCACATTTTTCAATATTCTCATTTGTTATACTTTCACGTAAATGTTCAATTTCCTTTTTTAAAATTTCTATTTGTTGTTCCTAGAAAAAAAAAAAATGATAAGATATGTGTATGAAAAATAAAGTTAACCTCACATCTTTTCCAGATTATTCCAGATAAATCGAATTTTATATTTGATAATGAAATTAATGGCAAAATTTACCGCTTCAGTTGCTCGTCTATTAAAAGCATCTATATTAGAGATCGACATTATATTAATAATTTAGTTTTTAATAATTTATAAATCGAATTTACCACGTGGATAAATTGAAATACTTATCTCTGACGTATTCAAAATCGAAGATTCTTTCATTCATTTTAAAGATCAACTCGATTAAAAATTAGTTACAAGCGATTAAAATAATATTTAAATTTGTTCAAATTTTGTACACAATTTTAATATAATAATTATAAATAATATTTTAAGATTTTGTTTTTTATATAGCGTCGATATAACAATTTATTTTTCATAAATCAATATGAGTTTTTAAATATGGCGGCATAGAGGGAGGCGGCGAACGTTTGCTCTGTCGGTAATGTTGCGAATACGAGTATGAAAAATGTTTATAGTTTATTTTGAATGGTTAAACGTGTATATATTATTGTTTATTGCATCAGTTTTTCTGAATTTAATGATTAAGGTAATGGTAGAATTCTGTTCTTACCATTGTCGATAAAAGTAGATTCCTGCATTAGATTGGTTCCTTCAGTCGAGATACTCTGAATATACAAATATATGATAACGATGATCAAGGTTATTTGAATTTAGCGAATATTTAAAAATTAATGGCTTAACAAATGTCGATTTTTGGTTATGATGAGACATCAAGACATTATAAATGACAATGATACAGAGACCGATACTGCCGAGGAAGTCACAGAAAGCGAGGAAACTTCATCAACAGGAAAAGTTACTCCTCAACAATTAACAATATCCTTTTCAAAATTGTCCTATAAAAGACTTCCAAAAAAATGTGTTAAGTTTTCTTTTTTGAGTCTAAACAGTGTTACCTTTGTAAGTTTTGATATAATAATAATAATCCTTTGTACGAAGAGAAAGAAAATATAATTAAAAAAATATTAACATAAATTTGTTTGTTTGCAGATTGCTGGTTTAAGTGCTGTGATCATTTCAATTTGGATGCTTGCTGATAGTAAAATGATGTCAAGATTGATTGGACAACGTATATATATAACAACGTTACTCATGATAGGAATATTCGCATCTTTTTTGGCAGTAATCGGTATATCTGGATTTTTCAAAAGAAAATCAAATTTTTTGATGATCGTAAGTAGATCTTGATGAACTAAATTAAATGATAATAATAACAACATAAATCTTAAAGAAATATTAATAGATCAATATAATCCTTGTATTGCAGTACATAATATTCCACGCACTATTCCTTTTTTTAATCTTCATCTGCTCCATTTTGAGTTTTTCATTATTCGATAAACTTACGAGAAGTATTCATGAAGATATGGCTAACTCGATAGAAAATTATCGTTACTTGGATTGGGTTACAGAAGCTTGGGATAATACGCACAGATATGTAAGTAATTAGAGAATTCAATATTGAAATAAATAATAATAATTATAATGGAAAAAAAATTGATCTAATTAGTTAAAATGTTGCGGTATTCAATCTCACGAAGATTGGATAAAACATGGTATGCTTATACCACAGAGTTGTTGTTCAACTACCGTTGATAAGGTAAATATTTTTTTGTAAATTAACTCATAACGTCTAATATAATATCTCCTTATAAATTTTGTTTAAATTAGAAGAAGAAGAAGAAGAAAAAGAAAACCTTCCATAACTTTTTTTTTTTTAGTGTTTAAACATGTCCGCCGAAGTAGTGTACGAGTCTGGTTGTTTAAATGGCGCCGTTGATTTCCTCAAATCTTCAATTCACACTGTATCCATGTCGGTCCTTTTTGTGTCGTTAGCTCTAGTACGTAATACTTTATTTAAAATAATAATAATAATCGTTATTTCGATGCCCTTATTTTTTTTTTTTTTTTTTTTTTTTAAACAAACCATATCTTTCATTTTTAGTTCGCGAATTTGTTCTTTGCTCTTGCCGTACGAAAAAGATTCAAGATGTATCCATTGAACTAATAACGATCGTTTGTAATTAAAAAAGAAAGAAATCACTGTGATCAGAAGTGAATGACAAGTCGTCGATGAAACGTTTTTTTTCCCCTTTTTATTATCATATATAGATCATATATTTTCTGAAAACACTTAATATATTGTACTTAAGAGATAGTAATATTGTGTGTGTAAGTTTATTGGACATGCTGTTAGGGTCATGACATTCCTTTCTGCCACTGGGCAGTACATCTATATATTTATAAACATATATATGTATATATATATATATACACATATATATTTCGAGTTACGAATTTATTCTGTACCTTTTATAATTTTTTTCTTATTTCCGTTTTCTTTGTTCTACCGCGATAATTTGTCATTTATATTAAAGGGGAAAATCTGGGCGACTTTTTTTTCTTTTTTGGATCGGGAATAGAGAAGAAAAAATACATTTATAAAAATTATTTATATATATATGTATATACATATATATATACATATATATATATAAATACATATATACATACGTATTTATGTATTTATGTATAAATGTATATATATATGTATATATGTATATGCATATCCATCATTCGTTCTTGCCCTTTTACGATAAAGGGACGAGAATTTGTTTAATCTTAGTTTATTTCTCTTTATTATTTATTTTTTTTTCTTTTCTTTTCTTTTCTTTTCTTTTTCATTTCATTTTACGATTAGGATAAGTTTTTAGGGGGAGCAAATAGGGGGGGGGTGGGCAGTCTGATTCAAAAAATGGAGCACACGGCGTTAGAAGATCGTTACGCGAAATCGTTTCGTTTCTTTCATTCAATTATTTACGAATTACGAAATATTGACATGTTTCTCACTTCGACTCTATATGCATTTTTGTTTTTTTCTTAATTAGAACTCCTTTTTTTTTTTTAGTTCGAAATTACAAACGCGTAAATGTAACATAATAATACACACGGGTATTTGAAATTGAAATCATCGCGAAATACCACAAACCGGGGCTGTATTTTCTTATACCGATAATATAATTATTATATTATATTAAATATCATTAATTTAATTTCTAATCATTTATTTTCATTAATATTAATTTATCGCCGAGTGTTCCATGCGCGAGGTACGGCGTCGTCTTTTTATTATTATTATTATTTTTTTTTTTTTTATCATTATCTCATTTTATTTATGTATTTATTTATTTATCTTCTCTCTTTCTCTTTCTCTCTCTTTATCTCTATATTATATCCATTATCATTTATCGATTCTTCCCTTTTTATTAATTTTCTTTTTATTAAATTCTTATTATTTCAGTTATATTTTTTTTTTTTTTTGTAATGAAGGACAAAGGGCTGGGCGCAGTTTTTTTCAGGCATATTCCATCCAATTACAGATATATTATATATCATAGCAAACATCGTGTGACTATTTACAATAAATACAGTCGATTAGATTATTATATATAAATAAAATATATATATATATATATATATATCGTATCGTTAGTTTAGGTTTACAGCAACACGTGACAGTAAACAATTAGATCAGCAGCAAAGTAGCGTTTAATCTACCTAGGGTAGTGGTCGTAGTAGCTGCAGCGTGGCTGACTTGTGCTTTCTTTCTTTCGCATCTTTATATATTTATATATATTTATTATATATATTATATAAATATATATATATATATCTTTCTTTCTCACTCTCATTCATAAACAATCTCTCTCTCTCTCTCTCTCTCTCTCGTTTGTTCGTTCGTTCTTTTTCTTTCTCATTTTTGCTTTCGTTCAATTACCATCTTACCATTATTCCTCTTGTATCAATTTGTTTATATCCTAATTTAATATTCATCATGACCACACGATCCAATGAGACGCCACTTCGTGTCAATCGACGAGTATATTTTCATATTTTATACCGCATGGACCAACTTATAATCTAACCGTGTCATTCTCTTCCTTTCTCTCTCTCTCTCTCTCTCTCTCTCTCTCACTTTCACTTTCACTTTCTCTCTCTCTCTCTCTCTCTTTCGCACATATTTATATTTCATACACGTATATATATATATATAAATATATGTATATATATACAGATACATATATATATACGTACATATATATATACGTACATATATATATATACACATATTATATTATTATTATAATTATTATTATTATTATTAATGTTATTATTTAATTATTAATTATTAATTGTTAAATATTAATTTATCCGCAATCTACCTGATATTTACTTAAATAATTACGTGGAATTATCGTTTGTTCCCCGATCGATCGACAATCGAGGGTAGTGGGTGGGGCAGAGGGGGGTGGTTGGAGACGAACTAAATCTGCTAAACAAGATGAAACTTCACGGAAGTTAAAGACTGCAATTTTTCTTCGTTTTTTTTGTTTTTGTTGTTTTCTTTTCTTTTCTTTTCTTTTTTCTCCCCACATTTTTTTTCATTTTTTACTTTTTTTTAAATCTTCTTCTTCTTCTTCTTCTTCTTCTTCCTTCTTCTTCTTTTTCTTCTTTTCTGTCTTATCAAAGAGATATTATGTCAAGTTGGGTTCTCTTCATTTTCTTTTTTTTGCATTCTCTTTCTAATCTCTCATTCTGTCTGTCTGTCTCTCTCTCTCTTTTTTTCTCTCTCTCTTTCTCTCTCTTCTTTAAATGGATGAGAGAGAACCTCGTGTAAAACTTCGCGCTCGTATAAATAATTTGACGTTCGATATTATTATTATTAATATTATTATTATTTTTTTTCTTCTTTAAAATAGTCAAATAGTTTCAAGATAAGAGATTGGTTTGTTAAATGGACAAATTTATTTGATAGTTTAATAAATATTCGCGAGATTTTTCTAACGATCATGCAATTCGACGATCTAAAGATGTAAAAAGACGACGATCAAATCGATTTAATTAATTATTCTTCGCGTCAGTAATATATTTTTTTTTCTTCTAATTCCTTTTACTTCGAGATAAAAAAGAAAACATAAATAAAAAAATTAAAAAAAAAAGTAAACTACAACAAGGAAACGAGACAAGATCGTTCATTTCTAGCGAATCGGATTGAAGACTTTTCATTTTTGTTCTTTTTCCTTTCTTTGTTTCGTTCCCTACGTTCAAAAACTCTAGTTCGACTTCAAAAATACGTTAAAAAGCCTCCCTATGTATAATTTATATATTTATATATGTATATATATATATTTATTATATATATTTTTTTTATCCCTCGTTTTATTTATACACATTCAATTAATCATTTTCATCTAATGTTCAGACAATTAACGTCGTTGTGCCATTATTTCTATACCCATTGGCGACCTAAACGATGGGGGTGGGGGTTGGTGTTGTCCATCGCAAAAGTTTTTTTTTTTTTGAATAAACGCGGATTAAGAGAAATTGACCTTTCCTCGCTACCCTCAGTGAAATTGGACAAATTCACGTTTCTGATTATCGCAAAATTATTCTTCCATTTAGGGTTGGGGGTTTGGGGGTGGTTGAATACTAAGAAGACGATTAGACGGAGATAAATCGAGAGAGAGAGAGAGAGAGAGAAAGCGAGCGACGGGGGGTTGGTGGTGTGGGATTTTTGGTGAGTGGGTGGGGCAAGAGAAACAGCGAGGGTCAATTAGGGGATGCTAACTAATTACTTCAGTAATTATGCGCGTCATTTAGTATTTTTTAATCATTTACATACGTTCGATACAAGGAAAACGATCGGATACGAATGGATGAGATTAGAACGGGGGAATTGAGGAAAGGGGTTGTTGATGGGGGTGTAGGGTGGTGGTGGGAAAGTTGATGGTCGCGTTAAATTTAGATACACACTTATTACTCAATGAAGAAACATAGTTTTGACGTTCGTGTTATTCATATCCAGCAAGCACAAATATGCAATATTGTATACGTATTTTTTTTTTTATAATTTATTTATTATTTTTTTTTGTTCATTTTATTTTTTTTTTGCTCTTTTCTCTTTTTTTTTTCTTCTGTTTTTTTTTTTTTTTTACCTTACTCGTTCATTCATTTTCACCGATATAATTGAATCATTTTCTTCATATACTTCATCTTCATCTTCATATCTTCATCTTCAGCTTCATCTTCAGTTTCTTCTGCTGCTACTACATCGTATTTTCTTTCTTTCTTTCTTCGTACTCTCTCATTATTAATAACGTGTTTTTTTTTCTTTTTTAATATCTTTTAATTAAATATTTTACTTAAACAGAGAGAGAGTGTGTTTGTGTGTGTGTGTGAGTGTGTCATCGGTTCGCTCGTTTGTGCGCCCGCCCGACGTTTCTTCCTTCTTTACCCCAAATATATATTTATA